TATCTATCCAATCAAGTACAGAAGCAATCTTTTGTATGTTTCAAAAAGGGCCCTTTAAAAGAATAAACCTACAAATGTTTGACCACAAATCAATGTACCACAAAAGGTTGAGGCATACCAACATGAACATAGAGTTGGATGGACAATAGAGCCAAAAACAGATTGAGATGTATAACTAAGGAACAATTTTTTCATGCGGATTGGATCGCATTTTTACAATATGCGATCCAGAGCTATAAAGCATCCATCATCTTAAAGATGGATGCAAATAGGTAATCCATATGAAAATAATTGTAACCAACGGTTCAAATGTTTTTTTAATATAATTATTATTTTTAGTTTTTTTTTTTTTTCATATTCATATTCCCCAGAATATATATTCTCTTAACATTATGATCAAATTATATTTTAAGAATATATTTATTGTCAAGCCTGCATTTCTACAATATGCTGGCCTAACCGTGTCCATAACTAAGTCCAAGGCAATGTATAAAGGATAAATTTCTATATGGGTGAGGCCCTAAACAATCAAATTAAGTTGCACCTCAAAAATTCATTAAAAATGTTGCCTCAATGCAAAAAGATCCAAGATTTCTCGACTTCAAGATGTATGCACATGAACAAAAATAAATTTCGAATCTTGGAAATAGTGCATGTTGTAATGTATTATCTAGACGGTCAATTTTCAAGATTTTGAAGTGTTCATTGATCCGCTCAATCTACACTATTTTTTAACTTTAAATTTGTCTAATTAGAGACGAAAATGAATTTTCAGATTTTTTATACTGAAACAATATATTTTAACACTATTTGAAGGTGTGCCGCACTTTGATTGTTTAGTGCCTCAGTCTTACACGCACCCATGTATAAATGAAACTTTGATCGCCACAAGGCGTGGAAGAAATATGGCTCATTACCAAGTATATGAACCCATACTTTTCTTTATGGGTACGTAAATTTCATTAATTGAATTAAATTATCGTTAGAAATATAATTGTGTTGTACAAATAGAAAAAAAAAAAAAAAAATGCTTAAACAAGCTTGTATAATTGGGATTGTATATTATAAAACCATTTATCTTTGTTACAAGGAAGTCACAATTGCTACTACCCATTAGATGTCAAATTGGATGGCTTGAGGTGCATCATAAAGTTCAAGATTTTTTTTTTTTTTATTTTAGCTATAAGTCTAGTGAGTTGACACACGCACAACCACACGGTTTGAAATATGATGAACAAGAGTAATTGTGATCTCCTTATATTAAAAGTAAATAGTCGCTTTATATACTTTTCTTATTAATACAATAGGTAAATAAAAAGAAAAAAATTTTATCAAAAATACCTATAAGAGTCAAACTATTTAATATTTTACAGCTTTGCAACTACCAAGTCATGACCATGTGTCTCCTAATAGGTATATTAAAATTAAATCAAAATATATGAGTAGATTGCTTAATTGCTCATCTCTTATGGGTATTTGGATAAATTTCCCTTAAAAGATTAGTAATTAGACATAAGTTACATAAGTATTTGAGTTACAAGTTTTTGAATAAGAATGAGGTTTTTATAATGACTCAGGCTTTTTTTTTTTTTTTTTTTTTAACAATGACTATCATTAGAAAAAAAAAAAAATGCAAGAGATCCGAAGTACAAGAAGGTGTTACAAGAGAAAGTGACAAAGCAAGAAAGAAATAAAAAAGACAGAAAGGAAGAAAGAGGAGGGAGGGAAGAGGCCGCACCTCAATACCTCTATGGAAAACAGAGATTAGTAAAATAGTGTTATGGTCTTAAAATCCACTTTCACCAACTTTGGGGCTAAAAAAGGATGCAAATGTAAGAGACATATGGAGACTCCAAATAGTTAGTTCACAAAAGTATTGCAAGATAAACCATTTTAAAATCTTAAAAATATTATCTTTTAATCCATATTTGTTAAAGCAGAGATGATGGAGTTGCGTAAATTACCTGCAAGACAACAGCCGCGGCCTCACGAAATTCTGTTCCTTTGAATAGAGTCCCCATCCTGTGTACCGAAATAATTTCCCATTGCAAGTTATGAAAGAAAGCAATTCAATGCCCCTTTGAATGTGTCCAGAGAGAAAAAAAGTGACACAGGTGAGTTGCTTAGCATCAAGAGAAAGTGATACATGATACGTCACGCGTCTGGTTTATAAGTATCTTTAAAATAGTAGATTCACCACATGGAACACATGCTTATGAGAAATAACTAAACCTGTGTTATATCAAGAAAATTCTCTTTTCTACATTTTGATGCTTTAATGCAGTGCATGTTGGTTTCTTTGCTCTTAGGGGTGGCAATGGGTCAGCTCTAGTCTCAGTCTACCTTGACCTGTATCCGACCTGATTAGGTATCACTGAGACTCATCTCGATGACCTGACTCAGACCCTGGTCAGGTCCAAATCATTCAGACGTGGGTTAGGTTCAAGTCATTTGGACCCATACCCAGTTTGGGTCAGATCGACCGGACCCAATTGCCACCCCTATTTGCTCTTTAGGTCTCACTACTATATTAAAATTTGATAGTAAATATGGGAGAAATAGAGTGAGCCATTTGGCTCTCTCGAAATTGAGAATTTACTTATAAAAAGAAAGAAAGTTTTGCAGGTTTCTTTCTTACTCTTGGTTTTTTCCTGGCCCTGAATTGCCGGGGGTCTGATACAACTGGTCCAACTCTAGCAATTCTAAAGTTGAATGGTGCTATAAAAAAAAAAAGAAACAATAGAGAGAGATTTTCTCCAAAAAGGAGAATCGAGTCAATTCTGCATTCACTGTACCAGAATCACAAACCACCCGATTCTGAACTAACTCTGCCGATTCCAAGTCATACTAATAAAAAAAACTGCATCCAACAAGCTGTTGCTGAGGACCGTATCACATCATTACAATCACTATGTGATATTAGATTCATTAGACAATCCATTTAAATCGATTTTTATTATTAATAATTTTATGCAGTTTGAGTGCTTTATTTTTCTGTTTTTGTGCTTACTCTACAATGGCCCTCAATTTTCAAAAAGTGAAAACTAGACTATTCATGACGTGTTCTCCTGTTTTCAAGGGCCATGTTACATGGTGGTCAAGCAATATAATACCAAATAATATTGTATTAATGTAATCTCACTAGTAGTATTAGGTGATGTCTCTCTAGAGAGAGAGAGGGAGAGAGAGAGATTGTCAAAGTGAGATAAAGAGAGATTATTCATTGTGTTTTCCTATTGCCTTTCTTATCATGAAGGGTAATTCTCATTAGAGTCATTCTTTTCATAAAAATCATGTTAACATTTTTATAGTTCAATGTGGTTAACTAGTCCATATGGAACTGGGAAAAAAAGAGATGGAATAAGAGAGGTTTTGTACTTTTAGCGATGACAAATAATTATCAACTTGTTACTTAGTCAAAATATATGGGGACTTATGGTCTTATTGAGGGTATAGCTTTTAATAGAGTGAATGATGGATCAAGATTGTGTAGTTTACCTCAATTAGTTGAAAAACAGCTTTGATAATACAATGATGACTCCAATTTCAAAAACTTTAATGCTCCCAAGTTCTTGCTTCTTCGAACCCTCAGCCATCATTGTCTCTCTCCCAACACGATATCTCTCTCTCAATGCACACATACATATGCACATATGATATGTTGTATAAGAACAATTAACCAAGGTATGCACCATTTCTCTGGCATTTTCCAATCAAGAATAGTATACTAAGTTTACTGTAGTATGGTATGCAGTTGTATATGCTATTGTACAGTATAACTGGAGGATGTTTGAAAAAGATAAAAATAAATAAATAGATAGAAATGTCAAAAAGAAGGGCCACAATGGAATGGGTATTCTTCGAAGGAAAGTATACCACACGTTTTGTTAGTAACTTTTTTTTGGGTAGTTATGTGATGAAGTTTATAATCTTTTTAGTAGTTCCGTAGGGAAAGAGATCCCTTAACTATGATATAAATGCAAATCCGCCTCGAGCCCATTCTTAAAAAGAGTTTTTTTTAGTATTTCAGGTGGAAAAGAAAAAAATGCCCTATCTATAATAAGAACGGAACTCAAGATGTCATTTAGTGTTATTCTGCTATCTTGATTACCTGGCTTTGAGCCCATTCTTAATATGGGTAGTTTGGTAGAGAACGGATCCCCTACCCATGGTGCAAAAAGAATTTCAGACGTCACATTGAGACGTTCTGCCACCTTGACCACGAAGCATTAGGCCCATTCCATTTTTTTTATTTCATTAGTAATGTAGTGTGTGATAATTTCTATCAGCCACCTTGACCACGAAGCATTAGGCCCATTCCATTTTTTTTATTTCATTAGTAATGTAGTGTGTGATAATTCTATCAATGCCTTAGTGAACTAACGGTGGAGATGAATGTTTCCCCTCCCGAAAGTTGGCTGTAGAACATGAGAAACTTCTTATCTTAACCATACAATGCTAGGTGTGACGGTGGAGATGAAAAGTTAAGTATATACAATCTCATACATAATTTGTATCACCGCATTAAAACGTCAAAAAGATGTTTCATGTAGGGGAAATGTTTTCATAGGGCACCAGCCTTATTATGTAAAACCTCACCTCAAAACCACCAAAATTTGTACTTCTAGCATCATAAAACATTCAAAGTGATCATTTCAACTGTAACCATTATGATTGTGAAAAAATTTAAGTTTTCAAATCAAAAAATTAGTGTATATTGTGACATATTATCAAACCCATCTTTTTATCCTTAAAAATAAGTGTTAACAGAATCGGTCGGATCTATATATTTTTTGAACTTCAAATTTTATGCTTTGTGTTGAAAATTGATTTTAAAGCCATAATAAAAACATTTTATACCTTTCCGGATGAGGATTCCAGGCGAGGCTTTAGTTTGTTTTCATATAACCTCAGCCAAGAAGGAACGGCCGAGATGAAAAGCTAAGCATACACGAAATCATAAATATTTTGCAATCACCACATTAAAACGTCCAAAAGAAAGTTTCATATAAGCCGAGAATTACAAAATACTTCTCGCCCTTCTTTCTGAGATTATATCCTAAATGGCCCCACAGAAAGACACGATTTGCGTGCCATTGGACAGGAACTAACCGCCAAATCGCGACCGTCCAATTCATACACATCATTTTGCACTTCACTCAATCAAAAGTACAAAAAAAAAAAAAAAACGAAAAAAAGTAGATTAGCGGGATAATTCAGTAGTGAAAGATTTAAGATTAAAAGATGTATTAATTAATATAAGAGAAACCCTTTTTTTTTCTGAATTAATTGGAGAGAGCCTTAGTTGAGGGGCCAGGAGATGACCGTCGTCTAGTAAGGAGCTCTCTCGCGAGGGCGTGGAGCTCGCCACCGGCGGCACCGCCGGCTGTGACCGCCGGGTCGGGCTGGCTCCGGTAAAAGCGGGAGGCGGGGTCGATCACGTAGTGGGAGTGGTGGTCGAAGAGGGCGGAGAGATCGAAATTGGAGTTGGAAGAGGAGGCGATGAGGTCGGGCGATGTGGACATGAAGGCGGCGGATGGCTGAGACGGAGCTGGTGGTGGCGGAGGGGGTGGCGGGAGCTCCATGGTGGAGAGGTGGGCTTGCATGTATGCCAGCTCCGCTTGAAGGTTCATCACCTGCCAATCACAAACAAATTCGAGAATGTGGGTATGAATATGTTAATGGTGACTCTCTCTCTCTAAGTCAGGAGTTAACATTTTTTTGTTCTTCTCTGTTTCCAGCTCGGTTCATTTCTTCTCTTTCCTTTCGCTCTCTAAGTCCTCTCTCTAACTTAGAGAGAGGGAGAGGAGAGATGAGCAGAATTCAACACCTGAGTTCTGAAAACGACTACAGTACGAGGAGAGAGAATATGGGGAGAGAGCAAAAATCGACACCAGAATTCCAGAAAACGACCGTAATTCCTTTTATTCTGAATCATTCTTCATTTAAAAAAGACAGAGGACAGAGAGAGAGATTTCGGGAAATAGCAAAACCCCAGACCTGATTTCAAGAAAACGACCATAACGCTACTGAATCAGTGAAGAAAAAAAAGTAAAGAACCATCTGTGAAAGAAGAAAAGGGAGGACGCATCGACTCTACTACAATAGTTGTTGGTTTCTAGAGAGAGAAAGTGCTTTCTAGAGAGAGAAGTGAGTGATAGTGGATGAGAGAGGGTGAAAAAGTTGATGGTAATTAATGAAGAAGAGAATATAAAAAAGGGTGGAGTAGACAATCACGGAAAGGAAGCTTTGGAGGTCAACAACAGTAGTGGTAATTATTCACGATGATTGATAGGAACAACTCAATATCAATGAAATGACTCGGAAAACATTACATAAGATAAGAAGCCCCAACAGTACCGTCTATACTCTAGAGAGACAAATAGACCGCCTGTTGCTCTTGTGAAGACTGTTGCTATCGTGACTTGAGAAAGAAGAGTAAGAAATGCTTGAGATCAAAATATAACTGGAAGAGAGAAAGAATTGCTTGTGATAACAAGAAGAGACACAGTGCTTAACAGGAAGAGAAAGAGATGCTTGAGATAACAAGAAGAAAGAGAGAGTTGCTGGAGTCACAAGAAGAGACTAAGAAATGCCTGAGATAATAATAATAATAAGAGGAAGAGAGAGAGAATTGCTTGAGATAACAAGGGCAGAGAGAGAGAGAGTTGCTTAACATAGTTGTAATAAGGAGAGGAAGAGAGAGAGAATTGCTTAAGATAGTAGTAATAAGAAGAGGAAGAGAGAGAGAGCGTGAGAGATAGAGAGAAAAAGAGAAATAGAGAGAGAGAATTGCTTGAGATAATAAGAACTAACACTGGCTATGGTGGATGCTTGGAGATAGAGTCAACTAATGAACAGGAGAGAGAGAGGGGGAGAGAGAGAATTGCACGAGATATGGAGAATCACCAGTCGCTATTATGGAAGGTGAGAGATACAGTAACCGAGAGAGAGTCAATAAAAGCAGAGTCTCCAATAATCACCGGAAGAGAGAGAGGAAGAGAGAGAAAACCACCCATGATCACTGTAAGAGAGAGAAAACGACTGATGATCACCGTAAGACAGAGAGAGGGGAACAGAGAGAACACCTGTTGTTGAAGGGCAAAGATATGGGCGACGCAACCATAGACGGGATCCCTGAGCCTGGCCTGAGCCTCGTAGCACACGGTGACGACCGCGTCGAGGCGCTTGTGCGCAGGGATGTGGAGCAAAAGCTTCGACACGTTGCTGGCACCAAACACTTTGTGCACCGCTGCAAAGTGCGCGGCTCCTTGCTCTGAGTCAAAGTAAGGCGCAAATACGCACCCGCTCACGCACTTCCGCCTCAAAAACTTGCAAGCGCCGCACGGCCCGTTGCCCCCTCCTCCTCCTCCTCCCCCTCCGCTGCTCATTTTCAGGGGTTCTAGAAAGAGAAATCGGTGGTGTTTAGTTTGGGGTGCTTGGGTTTCTGGTAGTTGAGGTCTGGAGAGAGAAAGTAATGGGTTTTGTGCGTTTGCTTGAATTATGGTCCTTTCTCTCTCATGGGATTAGTGGGCCGTGTGTTAATGGTGTTTAGAGAGATGCGTTTTGGGTTTTTCGGCTCTTTTGAAGTTGAAGCTTGCAGAGATAGACTGCTGGTTTTTACAGGATGGGATTTGGGGTGTGTGGTTTTTGGTGACTCAAATTTAGAGAGAGAAAGTTGTGGCGTTTGGAGAGATGGGGTTTGGGTTTTGGGCGTTTCTGTTGCCCATGGCGGATTGGAATTGTGCCATGTTTTCTCTCATGGGGTTCGTTGCTCCTGAGTCGTCTCTCACCCTGCAGCTTTTTTTCACCCCTGCCACAAACGTCCACCCATTGAAACGGCGAAGCCGTGTCGTAAAGCTCTCTCTCTCTAAACTCTCTCTCTCACTCTAAACTGCAGGGGGCGTGTTTTATCACTCTTTCCGTCTCTGTAGGAGGCAGGGGACGTTGTATGGTAAATCTCTCTCCCACCTCGAGAAATGGCGGGGGTGGTGATGTAAACCGCCGTTTCTCTCTCTAAAAACGGCGGGGGTGGTGATGTAAACCTCCTCCTTTCTCTCTCTCTCTCTCGTCTCTGTGAAGATGTTTTAGAGAGAGAAAAGACTGGTGTGGGTCGTGTGGGCCTTTTATTTTTTTGGTTGCCCTACTTTTCGAGATCTTTAAAGCCACGCCAAACCACCACCCCTCGCAGCAGCTTGCGTGAAGCAAAACATGTGACCCCCTCCCTCTCTCTCTCTCTCTCTACTAACTAACGTTACCCCTCTCTCTCTCTAC